TTGTGATATGATATTATAGGTTTTTGTGATTGCATGAGAAGTTTTTGTTCGAATCACAATGACCACATCTGTTTTATTAACCACATGTTATTTCTCCTAACAACTCGAGCTATTGGAAAACGGGTTATTCGTTTGCTATACTCTTTTCATCTTTGTAACTAAAGGATCGGAACTAAGATGAGACTAGGGCTGGGAAACGGTGCGGTCTGGTCCAGACCATACCATATATACGGTCTATGGTCCTGACCGAGAGGCTAAAGTATAGATCACAGACCAGACCACAGACTATACGGTCCGGTCCAGACCACGCCTGTGCGGTCTGGTTCGGTCTGGTCTGGTCCAGATAGACCACACTCAACGAAAAATGAATAATTTTTTTAGTCAATCACACAAAAAATTGAACCAATAACCAAGAAAAATAATTGTTATTTGCCTTAAAACATTAATCCTAACATCCATGAATAATTTTGATACTCTAAATCTTAGTACATAACAAAGATACAAAGTAAAAACATCCCAGCTTGCACCATAACGTCATAAACATTAACATAACGTCATATGGAGACACTATTATCTCTACTCTCAGATTAATTAAATGTGGTTGTGAATGAAGCGGGGAAGAGATTCACAAAATTAAAGTTGAGACTTGGGTGTCGTTGTGGGAGTTTGGAGAGTGGTCGAATGGGCTGTTAACACGTATTGACAAGTCAGTTGGATCCACGGTTTGGTCCGATAAACCGCGGTCTAGACCAGACCAGACCAAGAAATCAAATCATAAAATAATACAGACCATACTTCACGGTCTACGGTCCAGACCAAACTGTACGGTACGGTTTAGACCACGGTTTTTCTAACGGTCTGGTCTATTTTCCAGCCCTAGATGAGACAATGAACTATGAGCTCCCCGGTTTCTCTCCACCTTCCGTTGATCTCTTCTGAGTTGGACCAGCCCCGCCGTCCGGTTCGGAAACATTTAGCATCGCCGGCAAAATTTAAAGGTTAAAAGTCAGAAAGAGTTTCCTGCACCGATAACAGTTACCAATAAATTCATAATATAGTATCGAACTCTTATTTACAGAGAATGTTTTGTTCAAATGCTTTGCCACCACTATGGGTACCTGATTCAATGGACGAGAGAAATCCCTACATAGACTGGATACGAGGGTAGGTATTCAAAAAATCCACATATAAAATGATGGGCATGAGTAGAGATTAACGAGATTATATGTGTCGGGATGTTGTGGACTGCAGACTTCTCATGACCATAACTCACTATAGTGAGCAGGCGTCTAGAATAGTAGTTGTTATGGGACATTCCAAGTACCATCACTAATATATACAAGGGTAGTGACCCTTATATATTTGAATCCACCAAGCTCATTAGTCAGAGGCATTTTGGGAAAATACCCAAAAGTAAAATTGTGCGGGCTTGTCCCAAAGCGGATAATATCGTTACTAATGAAGCTGCCTGATTTCAACAAGTGGTATTAGAGCCTGGTTCATTGGATTTGGGCCGGTGTATGTCACTTCGGAGGACCCTCATTCGGTGATTTCGAGATTTGAGATCTGCGTATTATTGGTGGATCAAGGGAGGTCCGTGTTTGTCTGGTAGATCAAAGGTGATCTACATATGGTTTAGCGGATCAAGATAATCGCTTATGAGAGGACATGAAGTTCGTGGTCCTTGTCTTGAGAGAAGGATTGTTATGGGATAATTTAATTACCACATCGGTATATAAGTGTCACCAAGCTTATTAGTACGAGACCTTTAGGGGAGGATACCCAAAAGTAGAATCGTGTCGGCTTGGCCCAAAGTGGACAATATCGTACTAATGGAGCTGCCCGATTTCAGTAAGTAGTATAAGAGCATGGCTTTTCGATAAGGGGCGGTGGAGGTCAGTTTGGTTCCTCATTCGGTGACCTCAGGATTTGAGATCTACGTATGTTTGGTGGACCCAGGAGAGATCCATATCTGTTGGGGCGGATCAAGGAAGGTCCGCGTCTGTCTAGTAGATCAAAGGTGATCTACATTTGGTTTGGCGGATCAAGATCATTGCTGAGGGGAGGACACGAAGTCGGTGGTTCTTGTCTTGATGGGAGGATGGTTATGGGATAATCCAAATACCATCAGTAATACAAGGGAAGTGACCATTGTATATAATAGGGGTGGCTATACGGTCCGGTCCGGTTAAATTGGACCAAATTGATCCGGTCCCAGTCCGGTCTTTTCGGGAATATAAGGACCAAAGATTGGATTGGATACAATCCGGTCTTGATCCGGTCCGGTCCTAATTTGATCTTGATTTTTGGTGTTGGGGGTCTCTTATCCGGTCTTTATCCGGTTTTTTACCTCAAATCTAAGCCCGAATATGAGATTGGATTGTTTGCTATCCGGTCCCAGTCCGGTCCCGGTCCGGGTTATACGGTCCGGTTTCGGGTAAAACCAAACAATCCCGAACCAAATAGCCAGCCCTAGTATATAAGTGTCCACCAAGCTCATTAGTACGAGACCTTTTGAGGAGAATACCCAAAATTTAAACCGTGCGGACTTAGTCCAAAACGAATAATATCATACTAATGGAGCTACCTAATTTTAAAAGCAGTTAATCTCACGGCCAAATTCCCAGCCGTGCAATGAGACCTGTGAATAAAACGCAAGGTTTTCTTTATTCGGTTTTAGGAGCTGTTTTCATTTTGTGATTGATTAAAAACCAGAGCCCTAGTTACTTGTGAAAGGTCTCGGGGTATTTAAGACATACTAGTGGGACCCCGGCCATTTGGCCTGAGAAAAGTGAGGTATGAAATTTGATAATGTAAGAGGGTGTATAGCTTATTGTTGTATAGTTTTTTTTTTTTAGAAACACGTGATAAAAATAGTGAATTTTCGTAAGAAAGAGACACGAATGATGCAACGAATAAAAAATCAGCCTTATGAACCAAAATCAAGTACCTATTACCTTGTGAAACAATATTGTTTCTGGTAATATGATGAGGTGGAGTAAGTTTTATAGAAACCGAATTCCAGAAAATTGAATAAAAAATCGCCTATCCCGCCGGTTTTCGGGAAATGAGCATCTCACAATCGTTGCTAGCTTTTACTCGGCCCGTTGGCCGATTAATTTGCTTTATAAAACTTTCATCTTGTCATTATTGTACTTTCTGGTTTTTTGCCAAGCCATGATAAAATCGAAAGAAATCAAGAATGAACAACACGATTTGGGATAGGAACCACCGTTCCTGTATCCCTAGAAAATGGTGGTAAACACGGACTCACCTGCCAAATTGGTTTGGATTGAGATTTTTATCGGGTATCAGGGAACCATGTGATTATAAATTAGACTTGATCAAAACGGGCCAAAACTTGAAATTCAGCATGTTTGACCGACCCCATGCCAAACTCTAATTATTCTTTACCTTTAAACTTTCTATTTGAAAATAAAAAAACAATGAAAGAAAAGAGATGACTGCAATTCCCTATTTGCACATCATTGATTCGGGAATAAAACTATAGAATTTCGAAAGGAAACTGAAAATGTTTAGGATCGTTTTAATGTTAAAAACAACCAAATAGATCTTTCTGTTTAGTTTTTTACTAACAAATACCAAACGATTCCCTATAATATACACTATAATTTAATCATTATGATATGAAATAATTACATAATATATATTTGAAATGATAAAAATTGGACTATCTAATTGGGTTGTTCGAGGTTGAACCATTGAATAACTTCAAAATACATTATATTTTAGCTACTAAGATATAAAATAATAGCATAATATATATTATGCTAGAGAAAATAGCTTGTTTTAGAATTGAAAAACCCATGATGTTCATTTGTTTTACTTGATGAGCAAATCCCGTGTAGGTCAGGCCCATTCAACTCTTTTATTTTATGATTAGCGGTTAGCCCATTAGAATCCATGCATTAGTTTATTGTTAATTTTTTTCTTTTTAGCAATAAAAAGTAGTATTGTTTTTGCCTTTTCATATATATTTTACCACCACGGAGAAATAAAGGACTTAAAGAAAAAAATTGACACTCCTGGACCCGTTTAAATCCGCATGTGTATGGTAAGTTGGCCCGTTCCACAAAGGAAAAAGAAAAAAAATTGACACTCTCTATTCTACCCTTCCTACAAACGCTCCTGGAGCAGGGAATTTGAAAAAGAGTTTTCTCCTCTTTGCGATTATATGTTTTAAATTTAAGAAGATACAACAAGTGTACTTAGTGTGATTGGTTATGATTTTTGCTTTTCTTTAAAGTGGTCATGGTTCGAATCCTAGTAAGTGTCTTTTTAATGAATAAAAAAAGTAATTGTGAAGACCAAAATGTCCTTCCTACTTTCACTCTGGATGGAGGAAATTTGAAATGGAGCTTCAAATTTTCTTATTTGGCTTTTATTTATTGTGTAGATTAGTGCGTGAAAATAATCAATAGAATATAACACGATTAATATTGGCCGAGAGCTCTAGCTATTTTGTGGAGTTGTCTAATTCACATCGAATGAGAAAACCACATCAACAGTGAAATGAGTGATTGTTTCTTATTCTGCTTATTGATTTCTTTCACGTGATATATAATTAATCTACACATATGTATAGTTAAGTTTAGTTATCCACTATTTACGTACGTAATCACTTCTGAAGTTCTGATCCCGCGGATCTCTTCTGAGTTGGACCAGCCCGGCCGTCCGGTTTGGAATGATTTGGCATCGCCGGCAAAATTGAAAAGGGTAAAAGTCAGTATATAAGAGTTTAATTTCCTGTACCGATAACTCTTTGGAAAATGACAACATCTTCCGTCACAGAATAACAAGCAAAAACAGCACCGCCCTTTCGAATGCTTCGATTAATCTTCTCTACTCTTCATCAGATCAACCACTATATATAAACTATAAAGAGCAATTGGGCATCGATCGATCACGAAAATACCGGCGGTAGCATTGCTATGGTTATCAACAAAGCATTGCTACCGGCGGTAATATTGGCGACCGTAATGATCATTATGGCACGTCCATCGGTTTCGATGCCAAAATGGGTTTACATTACCAATCAATTAAGTGAAAAAATATTGATTGTGCATTGTCAATCCAAAGACGACGACCTCGGAGGCCATGCGGTAGCCGTTGGGGCTAGCTTCAACTGGAGCTTCGGGCCGAATTTATTTGGCGGGACACTTTTCTGGTGCAAACTCGCGGTCGAAAATAAGCGTATTTCTTTCGTGGCGTACAAAGAATATTATGAAGGTTTCGGGAGATGGGTTGTTTGTGACGATGGACTTTATGGGACGCCCGAGGATCGTCCGGTCTTTCTCAAAGCTCAATGGATGCGACCATAACATATATAAGTGCATGGATTTCTCGTCTGGAGAGTGATTTTACCAGGTGGAATTGTAATAAAAGGTTTTGTAATGGAATGATATAAGATACATTTTTAACTTTTACTTTGTAACAGTTTGAGTTATCGAGACCAATAAATTTATAATATAGTATTAAAGTGTCATTTAATGAGAAATGTAGGGTTCAACTGCTCCTGAACACATTTTATAATAAGAAGTCATTTATAATAAGTGATTTCGGTTTTGGTACCCGCTAATTGTTAGTAGACGTTGATATACTAATGGTCAATGCCTAGCTGATGAATTTCCAAGGGTGGCGGTTGCTTTTGAATTTTGAAACTCCAAGAGTTCTGGATATCCTTAAGCTTGAGAGTGAGATTTCTTAGAACAAATTTTGATATTGGGTGTCAAGTGTTTGGTTGTGGAATCCTTTTCCCATTTTCAATTCTTTTATTTATAACCACTGGGTCTCCATGTTGCGCTCATCATCTTGGTATCACCCTCCATCGTGTTACCTTGATCATGTCTTGATTGGATGAGAGCTTAACCCCTTTACGGATCAACAAGACTCCATACTTAGTCTTGGAAGGCTTGACATGGTATCATCTGGTCGGCTTGTTACTTGCTACCAAGATACTCTAAACGTCTTCACTTTTGGGGCTCCATATTGGGGCTAAATTTCATTTTTCAACACCAAGTTTGCCTTGTGGGTCTGGTACTCACTTGGCTAGTTACCAAGCCTTTCTTGTTTCTAGACTTAGTTTTTTTTAGATCATATTTCATACAAAAGGGGAGGAGGCCGGTGAGCATGGAGGCTAGGGAGACTGGTCGGCCACCTTTGTATGGGAGAGGGAGTTTGGCCACTTAACCCCAAAAACCCTACACAACAAGGCATAATTAACTAATTAACTAATTTAATGTTTAATGTTGAGTAACCCGAAGGTGGTAGAGGTTCTTTGTCAAGGGGAGGGGCGGTGGTGTGACGTTAAGCTGAGTCAGTGGTTTGATCAGCCCACTTGTCAGGCGATAAAAACTATCCCCCTTCCCCAGCGGAATATTGAGGATAAGTTGATTTGGCATGCCACGCCAGACGGGATAATCACGGTTAAATCAACCTATCACCTTACAGTCCTTTTGGACAAGCAGAAGGGTATGTGGCGTTCCCGCCCAAGTTAAAAGTCTTTGTCTGGCAAATTTTCAACTGTATTCTGCCTACCACAGAGGCTCTGGTTGGGAAGAAGGTCCCTATAATCCTCAGTTGTCCAGTATGTTGGGCTGAGGATGAAACTATGGAACATTTGTTCCTTGATTGTCCAGTGGCGAGAGCGCTTTGGGACTCTTCGGGAATGGAGTATCTTGGGCAAGGATTGCCTCGCCACACCTTCCCACTTTTACTCAAAAGGTTGATGGCGCTCATTCACCAACCCACTGTGTTCCTGGGAGATCATTGGTCCTAAGGTTCATCTAGCCAAATCGAGATCAGCATGTCGACAACCAACGCTCGAGTGTGAGGCATGAGCTAGTTGCTAGTTATATGTCTTGGCCATAGGTTGGGCTTCGTGCTTTGAGATTGCTCGATCAATGATTATTACCATAAATGACTATTAAAGCATTATTGTCTTAATAATTATTTTTATTAAATTATATTTGTTAATATTTATGATTATTATATATATAATTTTTTATTTTATTATTTGTGATCATCTTTTATAATTTTAATACATCATTTTTATAATAATAATAATAATAATATAATTTTATTACTTTTCACTATATTTGCAGCCTTCTACTTTTTCATCCAAACAACAATTTATCCATCCACTTACACCCTCCACCAATTTGCACCCTCCTGCAATTTGACCCTCAAATTGCACCCCCTCGGATTTGCACCCCCTATGATGATGATAATAATAATAATAATAATAATAATAATAATAATAATTATTCAAAATCAGGAATGAAGGGATAAGTTATGACTCCGATAGAATTTTTGATTCAAAATCTTCTGACCCACTCAATGATATCGATCACTTGTTTTATAATTCACACCTGTCCGAACACCATAAAACCACATGTAACGACCAATGCAGTATGCGCTCACCCTACTCAAAACTCAATGCGATCTAACCCTTTCATTTTTTAAAGTTTTAATCCGATTCCAAGACAAATAAATTATTTTCACTAAGTTTTTTTGGAGAGAGGTCAAAAAAACAAATTGGATAACGTTTTCTCAGTGACATTGCTGATCACCACATAAGTTTGTTCACTAAACTTGAAGTTGTAATGTGGTTCATGCTTCAATTAATCGGCGGATTCTATGGTGCCGGGACTGCATTAGTACCGCCAGGTTTTCCGCCGTAGGATTTATGGTATTTAATGAGGACCATTGATCAATAACCACCCTTTAATCAAAACAGGTTGAACCTATGTCCTATTATATTTGGTTGAACCTTCGCTCTACTAAAAACAGATCCACACTAAAATCGTAACCCAACGGTCTTGTTTCAACCATTCCCAGCCACAACTACATTAATTGAACCGGACAGAATAATGCGACGGCACCGGTGACGTTACTGCACCACAGAATTGCCGCAATTAATCATCAACATTATAATTATCCGGATAATTCAAACACACATCTACCAATCCCAACTATTAACCTACTATTTCTTTCATTGTCTAGCCTTAAAGAAATCATATGATGATTAAAGTGAAAAGTGTGTTACTCCAGCCAGATTATGAGTCAAACCAAACCAAACCAAACCAAATCAAAGAGCCAGACAATTATGAGTGAAATAGAACCACTATTCTGCTGCAGTAACTCATCAAATAATCCGACATAAATGGAACCCAAAAAACCAAAGAAAGTACGAACGCAATCATAATCGAGTGATTGTACCGCTGATATTCAGTCAGGGGCCTTCAAATTCGAATCTAATTCCACCTTCCCCATCCCTCCCTCTAGTAGCAATTTTTACGGTCGCAATGGAATCGTAGGAGTGGGTCGGTTATGCCGTGGGCCGCCATCCACCCGCCGCACATACTCCTCCTCCTTGCCTTTCGGCATCATATCCAAATCCAGGTCAGGGTCGGGGCAACGAGGGTCCGGCGGTCCTCTCTTCTCCTCAATCAGACCCTTGATGACCAACCACCCCGGCCCGATCCGCGCCCATATGTGCGGACGGACCAACCGGCCGCGCAATCCGTGCACGACCAGGCGGCGGCCGTCATCGTACAAACCCCAATCCACGAACAGGCGGCGGGTGTCATCGTACCTACCCCAATCCCTGACCCGAATCGGGCTGCCGCCGCCATCTCGGGCCCGCAGGACCGAGCCGTGGGACAGCCCGCCCGGCCCGAACGACTCCCGATCGAACCGGCCCGTCAGTACGCGGACCTCCGGGCGCTCCGTTTCGCACCATTCGTACTCTGCGTCGTCCGACGGGACGAAGACGGTGATGGCCTCCTCCGCCCCCACGGGGTAGTGATGGAGGAGCTTGGATACGAGGTCGGGGATCATGGCGGAGTAGTTGCCCCGGGAGAGTAGGGCCGCCCTGACGTTGGCGACGGTGGTGGCGGTTTCGTCGGAGGAGGGATGGAGGAGGAAGATCGACAGTGGGATACAGTAGAGGATGATGGGGAAGAGCACTGCGGCGGCGAAGGATGAGGGTTTGCGCTTGCCGGAAGCCGCCATTGCCGTCGTCGATTGAACGAACTGATGGGGGCCGGGGGGTTTTCTTTCAGGGGATTTTGTTTATACCATGGGATCGGAAAACAGATGAATTTGTAGCCTACCTACCACGATTTTTATTACCCCAGCGGGACTTCTAGTCGACTTAGGAAAGGAAATGGTTGCTCGATAGAACTAGGATTCGTCAAATACTTCCCAGGCCAGTTACCTCTGATAACCTCCTAAACACTACACGACTAGCAAATAGTCACTGTGAAAAATCATAGTGGAAATAAAATAGAAATCGCAATTCATTGTATAGCTATCTCTAAAATTAAATATACGTTAGATATTGTAACGGTGTATCTATACTATACTATGTTCACTGAGTACTACTTGTGATTGCGAGTATAATAAAGATAGCTGGTCAGGAGCTAGTTAATCAAAAGTTAAAGGGTAGGGTTAATACCTCTAGGAAATCTGAACTATCAACAATGTGTCATTTGTGTCCTAAAGTATTCAATATGACATTTGTGTCCTAAACTATTTTTCTGTTAGAGTTTTTTTTTTTCGTTGAATATTTTTTGTTAGAGTTAACCGACATTGACCGTTAATTTTTAACAGAATGTCTAATCAACACTGATGTGGCATCTGAAGTTGAACTTTTATTATTATTAAGGACCCCCACTGTTGGACGCACAAATTACCTCTGTTACAAATCTCTTACATACCTCTTTACTTCATAAGCTTGGCTGTTTTCCCCATAATCAAAGAATTGTGCAGAGAAGTCATAGAAATTGACTATGCCTCCTGGGTTGCTGAACTTAATCGAATCAAAATAGTAAGGTTCAACTCACCTACTGATGAAATTGATCTTAGATTCGGTGAAGACCACTATCCAATTTCCTTGATTCAAGAGTCGCCGCCTAGGACGTCGCCGCCTACGACTCCGTGCGATTGCGAGAAACGATCACAGATAACCGCCATCGTCGATAAAATCCCCAACATCATGCTCCATCCCACATTAACGAAACCCTCACAGCCATAACTGATAACCCTGCCACACCGACTCCATTCCCCCACAATAATCCAATGAGAATTCAATTCCTCCAAAAGACCCATTACCCTATCCTTTTCCCAATGGGTTAATTGCATGGTTGGTCACTGAGATTATAAAAAACGTTCATGTTTGGTCACTGAAAATATTTAAATCCAATCTTGGTCACTCAAATTAGTTAAATGGTTCAAGTTTGGTCACTCTCCGTCCAACTCCGTTAAATATGTCTGATGTGGCAGTCAACTCTCAAAGTTGACCGTTAACTCGGTGACGTGGCAATTAAAAAATAATAAATAAAATAAATTTTAATCTTCTACCATTTCCAACTCATTTTTACAATAAAGTAAAATAAAAAAAATAAAAAATTTATTATAAATGGCTTCTACCGTTTGGTCACACGCCCTCACCGCCTTCCTTCTCGCCTCCAATCCGGCTTCAGCCTCCTCCTCCGCCACCGACGACGACGACGAGGACCTCACCTTCCTCGAAGACTCCTCCTCCTCCTCCTCATCCCAGATCTTCTTCGACAAGTCGAAAGTTCTCTGGTCATGAGCTTTGCTAAAGGTCTTATCCAAACCATTCTCCCCTTTGGCGTGTTTCTTGAATTTCGCCCTCAATTTTCTAACTTTCTCCTTCAACTGAGAAGGCAACACATCCACAGCCACAGACTTTTTGATGAAATCATAGAAAGCCGCTATGTCCTTCAAGGGATCAGCTCCTTTCTTCTCAGCGAACTCGATCAGCCCATTCAACACCACGATTTCATCGTTCTCACCCCATAGTCGCTGGAAGAGCACTCTCGGCGTATGTTTGTTCTTACCGTCGCTGTCCGCGTCGCGTTCCGCCACCTCTTTCTGCCTCTTGGCGTCCTTTGCTTCCCTTTCAGTTTCACTCGCCCTTTTTCTCTCCGGCGTAGATTTTGAGGAAGAGGCAGGAACCGCATGCACTTGAGCTTTAGGCTGGGGCTGGGAAGCGATGGGCTTCACGTTGTGCAGAACGCCAGAGCTCTTCGGCCGCGGATCAGAGTCGGAATCCGTGTCGGAGACGTGCTCGGAGTCGGAATCGGAGCTCTGAACAGCTTGCTTCTTCGGTTGACCTTGTGAATGGGACGTTCTATCCTGCGACGGCAGCTCAGAGGCTTCATAGGCGGAGGAAGTATCATCATCTTCTTCGGAAGAAGCAGGAGATGGAAGGTCTTTCGTCGGATTCGACCGCTTGGGAGATTCCGCAGCCATGATTCCGCAGTGGTTGCCTAGGGTTCGGAGATTGGGGGAATAGTTTACCGCTCGCTTCCTTGATTTACCGAACAAGCGATACAGGAGAATCATCCCGAGCAGAGATGCGAGCAGAGCCCCCAAAAAAATCGCGCCGCCTTCCATCCTCGCAGCCGTCATTGCGGAACCGAGACGGCAGCAACAATGGCGTCGATGCTCGGTAGCAGCAGAAGAAACAGAAATTGGATAGAAGGTTCTCGAATCTCCCTTGTTTCTATTCTTGCTCTGCTTCCCCGGCAAAGCGAGACGGGAGAAGAGGAGGTGATGGTTGGGGCGGGTGGAGGAGAATTGATAGGCGGCGGAGGTAGCGACGGAAGCGCGCGTCGGCAGCGAATTGGTTGGGAGGGTGGGAAGGAGTTGGGTTTTATGGAGAGGAGGTACTGATCTGGGTGTGTAGGGCTTTGAATGTGACGGTGGTGGTGGCAGTGAATGCTCGACCCCGAGCCTTTATGGAGTCGTCTTCGAGGAAGGTGAGGTCCTCGTCGTCGTCGTCGGTGGCGGAGGAGGAGGCTGAAGCCGGATTGGAGGCGAGAAGGAAGGCGGTGAGGGCGTGTGACCAAACGGTAGAAGTCATTTATAATAATTTATTTATTTTTTTATTTTACTTTATTGTGAAAATGAGTTGGAAATGGTAGAAGATTAAAATTTATTTTGTTTATTATTTTTTAATTGCCACGTCACCGAGTTAACGGTCAACTTTGAGAGTTGACTGCCACATCAGACATATTTAACGGAGTTGGACGGAGAGTGACCAAACTTGAACCATTTAACTAATTTGAGTGACCAAGATTGGATTTAAATATTTTGAGTGACCAAACATGAACGTTTTTTGTAATCTCAGTGACCAACCATGCAATTAACCCTTTTCCCAATTGACAATCTTTACCTATTCCGCCTAATCCTACTCCTAATAGCCTTTTATCACCAAACCACTCAAGCTCACCCCAATTCATATTAAAAACTTGTCTTTACCAGCCCACTCCTCAACAATCCATGGGTATACCCACTTTTAGTTATAGGTTATGCACGAACATAATAACACGAAGCAGCCGAATGTAAGGGCGACTTACTTGGCATTTGGTATTGAAAGGAATACTGGCCGCTCGGCCCGCTCCTCTTCCGAAACAATCCCGAGTAGACAACATATTTGACCGGCGTGGACAACCGGGATGCCCTCCAACAACCGTCTGCTACAACTTCCGGTGGATCCTGGCTTCCGAGTGAAACGAGAGGAAAATCATGGTGGAGAAGCAACATTTTAAAACACCACCGCTACGCACTGCTTGGAAGAAGAGGACTGGTTGGGAAGGAGAAAAGGTTTCCGCGACGAAACCAACGGCGGTTGCCGGTTGCAGAGGACCACGCAATCCTAAACCCGGCAACAAATTGGAAGAGGGAGGTAATGATTACTAAAAGGTGTCCTTTTTATACGCTGTTAACACATAAATGATTTGATCTGCTATTAACACATAAAAGGAACTTTAGACTACTAATAATGATTTGGAACATCAAGGGCTTACCTCCAGCACCTTGATACATCGTCGCTGGTGAAGATGGTGGGTTTTACTTGTTGATATATGGCGTGCTGCTCAAGTAGATAAAACGACGCCACTTCCTTGGTCACTTACGACGTCGTCCTTCAAAGCCTTCACAAATACAAAACACAGTCGTTTTGTTCGTGGAACAACGCTTCTCTCCCACAAACCGACCATCATCCAGATCTGCTCGCCTCTCGATCTCCTTTTTTCTCCCTCGCTATGCTCTGGAAGACGAAGACATCTCTCTCGAAGCTCGCATCTCTCACATAGTTCATCACCGCCTCTACAAGACTAATGATGATCACAGTCGTAATCATCATCTCTAGCTAACGGTTAACTTCTTCCCTTGTATAAATAGTTAGCTCTTTTCCTTCGTTGAATCTTGGCAGTTTGCAATAGAAACATAGTGAAGTGTCTCTGTTGCTTTGGGTCCGTAGTCTACTTCAGTAGAGCAAAGCACAGTGTTGTAGAACTGGGTGTTTTGTTCTTGGGAAGTTTGGGTTTTTGTTCAAAGAGCCAATTCGTTGGCTTGGCTCTTGTTGTTCATGTGTGTTCAGATTTTCTAAAATAAATAATAGTATCCTTTTCTAAAGGGCTGTTTCTATCGAGTGTGATTGTATCCACAAAATACATTTCTTGTTTCACACTCTGATTTCACAATTGGTATCAGAGCAGGTTCTTTGTTGGATTAACCATCGCCAAAGAAGATCAGTAAGATGACTGGTTCCTCATCAGCACCTGCATCTTATTCAGCAAACACAAACCCTCCATGGTTTGATGGAACTGATTACTCAGTGTGGAAAAAGAGGATGAAGATTTACTTAAGGGGAGTTGATGGTAACCTATGGAGCATCGTTCGAAAGGGGCCTATTCCTATGGATGATGATGATGAAGAAAAGTGGGAAGATGAGCAGAAGATTTCCTCCCAGCTCGACTCAAGGGCGATGCATCTGCTTTTCTCAGCATTATCACCTGAAGAAAGAAATCAGGTTGCACAATGTGAAACTGCCAAAGAAATTTGGGAGTCATTACAAACAACTCATGAAGGTACATCTGAGGTAAAGGAAAGTCGAATTGATGTTTTATTAAATGAATATGAATCCTTTGAAATGAATTCAGGAGAATCTATCTCTAGTATGTATAAAAGGTTCAATGATCTGATAAATAGGTTGAAAGGGCTAGGAAAGACTTTTGCTACAAAAGACCTAGTTAGAAAAATTCTAAGAAGCCTTCCTAGAGAATGGCTTCCTAAAAGAACAGCTATAGAAGAAGCAAAAGATCTAAATACTCTGTCTATTGAGAGGCTGGTAGGATCCCTGCTAAGCCATGAAGAAGTAATCACTCAGATGAATAAAGAAGATAACAAGAAGAAAAAAGTGATTGCTTTTAAAGCTCAGGAATATGAAAGTGATTTTGAATATGATATTAGTGAAGAATTTGAAAGAGAATTTGCATTGGTTAGTAGAAAATTTCACAGGATGTTGAGACTAAAAAGGGAGTTCCAAGCTAATAGAGCTTATAATGACTTTCGAAACACAGAAAACAGACACTCAGATTATAGACGAGATAGGGAAGAAAAACCTGTTTCTAAACATACTGATAAAGGGCTTATGAATAAGAATATATCTGAAAGGCACAATCAAGTGTTTGCCGACAAAAATTCAGAAGGAAGGGAAAGGTATAAAGGAGACCAGAGGTCTCCTGTTGATAAAGAACTAACAATCTGCTACAAGTGTGGTAAGACAGGTCATATGCGATCTAGATGCCCACTAAACAAAGCAAAGGAGAAGGCGCTCGCAGCATCATGGAGTGACTACAGTTCGGAAGAAGAGGAGGAAGTAAAAAACTTGGCCTATATGGCATTTGCCTCAAAAGGAGAAGCTGATTCAGACTCTTCCAGCTGTGATCAATCTTTTCCAACAAGCTATCAGGTAATAAATGATAGTGACTCTGAAAGAAGTAGTCATTCCATGTCAAAAGTTGAATTTCTGCATGCTTTAAAAAACTTACAAGAAGAATGCAACAGGCTTAAAAGTAGATATTGTATGCTTATGACAGAAAATCAGGCAATGAAGCAGGAGATAAATAATCTCAAGAGAACGATTAAGTTTCAAGATGAGTGTCAGGCTAAGCTTAATAAGCAGATTTTTGACCTAACTGATAAAAATCAAAAACTCAGTACATTATCCAAGAAAACAACTGATAGGTATAGTGTAAGAAACAATGAGAAAAGTATCAAAACTGACTTCAAAAGGGAATTTAAATCCCAAAGAAAGCACTTTGAGACTAGAACAGTCAGAAAGTACCCCACCATATATACCTGTTCTTATTGTAAAAGACAAGGTCATTTAGCCAATTACTGCTATGATTTAAGGAAACCTCCTGTGTATAAATCATTTTGGGTACCAAAATGCACTAATGTTTAATTGACTGCAGAAACAGGGAGAAAATGAGAACATTTGGTTTTTGGATAGTGGTTGCTCCCACCACATGACAGGTAGACAAGACTTATTCTCTTCTATTACTTATAAGAAAGGAGGTAAAGTAGTGTTTGGTGATGATAGAGTAGGAATAATCATGGGAACTGGTACCATTGGTAAGAGTCCATTTCCTGTTGTGAACAATGTGTTGTTTGTTAAAGGTCTGAAGCATAACCTTCTCTCCATTAGTCAACTGTGTTGTGCTGAAAATAGAGTAATATTTGAAGCTGACTCCTGTGAAATTATTAGGATTAACGATAACAAAGTTTTGTTCAGTGGAACTAAGAAAAACAACATGTATGTGGTAAACATGAAGTGTTTGGAAGCCTTCAATGAAACCTGTTTTCAGGCTGTTTCTCTTGACCTAGAAATGTTGTGGCATAGAAAGTTAGGACATGTTTGTCTTTCAAAATTATCAAAGCTCTCTAAAACTAAATCTTCCAGAGGTATACCTAGACTAAAAGACAACTCTAAATTCTTTTGTGATGCATGTGTTAGTGGAAAGCTAGCTAAAAAGAGTTTTAAGTCGAAAAGGGATGTTACCACCACTCAGGCATATGAACTAATACACATGGACCTATTTGGACCTACAAATGTGGAAAGTCTTGGAGGAAAATCATATGCATTTGTGTTAGTTGATGATTTTTCTAGGTTTACATGGGTATATCTGCTTGCTTCAAAAGATGAAGCTTTTACAAAATTCAAGGTATTTGTGCACTCTGTACTGAATGAATCTAAAAATGGAATAAGATCCATTAGGAGTGACAACGGTGGAGAATTTATATCTGATCAGTTTAGTGATCTTTGCAATGATAAAGGAATAAATCACACATTTTCTGCACCTAGAACTCCCCAGCAAAACGGAGTCGTAGAAAGAAAGAATAGAACTATTATTGAGATGGCAAGGACTATGCTCTTAGAGTATAATTCACCAAAATTTCTC